CTGAATAAGTTGAGGAGGGGAGAACTGCAAGTCTCAAGTTGGTTATTCACAATTATGTCTGTATTTAAGCTATAAAGATAGCGTAAGACTGTTATTTTGAATGTGAAGAATTTGAAATTGATCATTAAAAGAATGATTATAATTTAGAAAGTTAAGTAGAATCTGTTTTTCTATTATTGAAGATTCTTTTTTATTCTGACATGTGTCCAGTTCTACCTGTATCGAGCGGAAGGCACTGGGGAATACAATGGAACTAGCTAAGGTTGGTTTGATTATATCCCATGAAGAGTGTCCGATCTTAAACAGTATCTGCACAAACCAAAGACAGTGAGCGAACGCAATCTGTAAGTGAGAAAAGAAGCCATTTCCTTCTTATAGTTACGATGCGCAGAAACTATCTGTCACATAATCACGCCACACTTTTGTGGTCTTATCCAGGATAAACAAGCAACAACAGTGTAAAAAAAGTAAACAACGAAATTCTATATCAACATATATGAAAATCAAGTCCTATTTAAAACGCAAATTGTGTTAATAATTGACATTGTCTAGCAATTTTTGTAGGCACAGCGTTCCATCAAGATAGAAATAAGATGGCTAAGTTCTAAGTACTAAGATTATGGTGCAGGTATAATAAAAAGATAATATATTCTATTACAGTATAACCAACAAACTTAGTTTTTCTCTAAGCAATATCCTATGAATACCAGATCTGGTTTAGCTGTCATTATAGTCGTTTCTTTAGGTGATTCCGTTCCGAAACGATTGCGATTTATCAACTAGGAGCTGATATCAAAACGATTTAACGTAGATTTGAGAATCTTTAGTTCAAATTGACTGGAATCGATTGCTTGGTGTAACTCCACAAACAGAATATTTCAGAATTGACTCACCTGTAGATCACAAACTAACTAAAAGCTTTGATATGTTTCTTTTAAGAATATATTTGACTTTCTGAGCTATAAAATAACCCATACTCCGTCAATGTCATAGATCCAATAATATTATTCGTTGCTTATACTGTGATAATACACCAAATTCGGTCACATCGCTACAACTCTTGACATCTGACAAACACAAGTATGAAATATCTTAAATCGCTATTCGCGGTAAACCTAAACTATTCCGTTTATTTATATAATCGATTTTTTTAACAAAAGACCAAAATATTACATATATTACGTATATGCTACGATAAAACAATGGGATTTTATTGTTTATTTTAAATTAAATGGCAAATTGTACTTCAAAATAGACATTGAAATGATTACAGCAGTTTAAATTTAAATATACAAAGTATGTGATATGGAAATTTTACTGTAATTGAGATTATTGGTCAAGAAGAAAGAAAAAATGCAAATACAGTAGAGCCTCGATAAGTTATAAGTCCAAGGGAAAAACCAAATATTTTAAGTTATCAAGGGTCTGAATCTGATCTGAGTTTGATCGGATATGTGTATGTATGACTAATTTCCTTTTTTCGGAAGCGGACATGTTGGCACACGCGAGTACAGTTATCCTTTGCTTTGGTAACTTACCACCTATGCAATGTTCATTTTTGAATTTGAAGGTCTTATGTGGAGTAAGTTTAAAAAAAGTCCCAGCTTGTCTGCATTGAAAACATTATCGTCACTATAATTTTGTCTTATTGTAGGCCATAACTTCATCAAGTTGTCGGTGACTTCTTTGGAAACTTCGCTTCACCGAAAATTTTTCCACATGTAATTTCGTGCCTGGTCTTAAAACGGCTCATCCATCCACTCTTCTTCTTCTTTTCGTAATTTATAAATAGGTTTAATGTCTGCTTTACTTCGGTTTTTAGCCTCAATTGACGTTGTCTGCCCATCTTTTCCTCGGTCGTCCCAATATTCCGTTTGGCGATTTGTCTCTTGCTATTCGTACTATTCTATTTTCTGTCATTCTTTCGATGTGTTGATTCCATTCCACTTTTCTTCTTTTGGTCCACGCGTTTATTTCCTCTATACCACATCTCGCTCGTATTTCCTTACTTCTTACTCTGTCTGTTAGAGTTAAGTTTGATATTTTTCGTAAGACTTTCATTTCTGTTGTTTCCAGCAGTCTTTGTGTTTTCGCCGTATCTGTTCTTGTTTCCGCTGTGTACGTATTATCGGTCTTATTGTTGATTTATATATCATGGTTTTCGTTTCCGTTGTGAGGTATTTGTTTCTACAGATTGTGTTGTTGAGACATCCTGCTCTGTTTGCCATGTTCACTTGTTTTTGTACTTCTTCTTCCACTTTTCCTTAGCTTCACAGTTTTACTCCCAAGTATTCAGTTTATATCACTTGTTCTATTATTTTGTTATTTACGACTAGTTTACATCATCTCGGTTCCTCTGATATCACTATCGTTTTAGTTTTCTCTCTTGAGATCACCATGTTGTATATGAGCGCCGTATCTTCGAATTCTTTAAGTAATCTTTGTAGGTCATCTTCATTTTCGGCTGTTATTTTGGCGTCGTCGGCATAGCATATTATCCTTTGTTCCTTTTCTTCCATTCTATATCCTCTTCTTTTTTTAACTTTCTATATGATTTCATTCATTATCAAATTAAATATTAATGGGATCAGCGAATCCTTGTCTATTGCCAGTTTCATATATGATAGGTTGCTTGCGATAGTTTTCCTTTACATCTTACCATAGCTATGTTATCTTTATATATATTCTCAATGGTTTTTACTAAATCCAGTGATATTCTCTTTTCATATAATAAATGTATCGCGTCCCGAATTCTCTCTCTATCAAACGCTTTCTTCAAATCTATCAGACACATATATGCTGGTTTGTTGTATTCCAGCGACTTTTCTTTTATTTGTCTTATTACAAAAACTGCATCCGTGCATGATCTTTCTGTCCGAAATCCTTGCTGTTCCTCTTGCAGAGATATTCGTTCATTTATTTTTGTCGCTATTATTCGTGTTGTCAATTTGAGTGTTTTATTTAAAATATTTATTGCTCGATAATTATTGGGGTCTTTCTTATCTCCGTTTTGGAAAAACATCACCATGATCGCTCTTCTCCACTCGATACTTTAAAATATCCATCACCACCTAGCGCCTGCGAAAACTGTGTTGCTGTTTCTTGAAGTAGTGGATCACTTATTGGAACATTCGCTGCCATGTTTACGATAATCCACTTGACCATTGCAGTATTGAGTTCTTTATTAGTTGCAGCACGTAGCTTTTCGATTTACAGGAAAAAGACGAAACTGCTTCGAAAATGTTGTGTTTATTTTTGAGCATGGTAGATAGAATGGTAGATAGAATAGAATTAACTTCAACAAAACAAAAGTAATGACAAACACGGAAGACCAAGAGGCAATAAAAATAAAAACAGAAAAAATAGAACAGGTAAATGAGTATATCTATCTAGGACAAGCAATCAGAGCTAACAGAGAAAATCAAACAGCCGAAATATCGAGACGAGTAAGAATGGGATGGGCAGCGTTCGGCAAACTTTCTTACGTTCTAAAAATTCAAACAATCCCCCTATACATACGAAGCAAGGTATATAACTCCTGTATAATACCGGTGCTCAACTACGGAGCACAGACATGGACATTTACACAGGCCAATTTGGATAGGATAAGGAAAGCACAAAGAGCGATGGAGAGACAAATGTTGGGTGTATCACTTAGAGATAGAAAACGTAACCAGTGGATCAGAACCAGAACAAAGACAGTAGACCCGATAGAACAAGCAGCAAAACTGAAATGGAAATGGGCTGGACACAATGAACGTCTCTAAGACGGACGATGGAACAATGCCATCGGAAAGTGGCGTCCATACAATGCAAAGAGATCAAGAGGCAGACCACAGATGAGTTGGAAAGATGACATCAGGAAACAAGGAGGTCCCACATGGCAAAGAACAGCTCAAGATAGGGAAAGATGGAGAGAACTGGGGGAGACCTATATCCAACAATGGAAGGATAGAGAATAGGTTAAAAAAAAAAGATAGAATGGAACATGAAATTCCTCTTTCATAACAAATTTCCGCTTTCTTCTATGGAGTAAGGTAAAGACCTAAACATAAAGAATTATATCATTTAATGGATATGCTTTTATATGAGAGTAAGAGAGATTGTTTTATATCTGCAAGCAGTCTACAGAGCACGTTCTTGTCGACCAGGTTCATCGATAGATGGACAGCTGGTAGACAAGCTGAAGTCTTTGAAATTTCAACATATTTTAATGTAGCGTCCAATACAATAGAAACTGAATACGTCAGTTTATTTTATGGCGCCAAAAATTTGACAATAGTTTCAGAATTGTATTTGATTAATTTCGACAATAAAAATGTATTTCAGGCACATTTGCATTTTAATGACTCCCTCTCACGACCAAGAGTACCAAGCTGTTTAACGATGCAGATAAGTTACTTTCTGAAAATTCACAATAACATCGTTTGATTTCTACGATTTGGCAGCACTTAGGAGTAATTTGCTCTTAGGAGCAACTCCACAAAATATTGTATTGTAGTACATACTGTTTAAATTTACAAAGATGTTGCCTTTATGTTTTAATACATTGTGTCACAACTATTTTTTGAATACCACTGCTCGTTGGGCATTATTGTTCTGAGAAATTTTAGCTACTACATTTGAAACCAGAAATATTAAGTTAAATTTATAAATTATCGAAACAAGTACCATATAACAAACAATACCCGATACTCTCACGAAATGTTTCCCTAGTTTGTCTCATTTGCTACTTTATTTAAAATAAACAATAAATAAAACTTTAGTGCGACGATGTTAGTTGAGCTTTGTAATTAAGTAATTGTGAAAGATCATATGTTTTATTTGATATGGTTAAGTTTGTTAAAAAACTTAAGAAACAGAATGTTAAATAAATTTTTTAATTTGATATTTTTCTTCATTTTTACTAATATTTTTACTAATAATAGCAGCAAAGTTTCGAGGACATCAATAATTAACATCCTCAAAATTCTGCTACGACTTTTGTCCACGATATGAACTTATTCCATAGTGTTGTATTGCACGTTCTTAACTTTGAAATACCTATATGCCCCATATCCGGAAATAGTGACCAAAACCGCAATGGCCAGAGTGGATCCCACGGCTATGGGGGCAGTTTCGTCTCTGAATGATCTTTGGGGCTTGCATTCGAATGCGTTCTCAAAATCTTCGCTTTTGTACATGAACGGTTGGACCTGGAGGAGCCTGAGGAAAAGTATTCCGTGGATTCCTGGAGGAGGATTGTCCTCTTCGTCGGTGTCCAAGGAGACTTCTACTTCGCTGCAGGAATAGGATTTGCCTACTGGAGTTGGGATTAACATTTTTCGGTGGTAGAGTTTGATCGATGATTTTCCTGGAAAAGAGTAAGGTAAAGATCAATCTGTTGATTTAATATTGGTAAAAATCTATAAGCTCCAGTCGTCAGAGACGAAAATGCCACTGAACCTCTAAAAATCATATAAACAAGCTGAACGTTGCTGAGAATGTGAAATTTGGAACCTTGATCAGAGTATCCTATCGACAAAAATCAAAATGAATTTTAAAAGTCAAGAGTATAGCTGCATTTTTTGCATTTACCCGCTAGTAAAGAAAGTTTACGATTTTTGCATGTATCAGCGGTCACTTCAAAATTTCTATTCTTAGAGCCTAATCTTCAAAACCTACAGCATGGAATTTTGATTTAGAGTTTTGCCAATAAATATTAGACATTTGAAATATGCCTGAAAAATGCTGAATTTAAACTTTCACATGGCAATGTAAAACGCTTAAAACTACTTCTTTTTTTTTTAAGAATAAATTCAGCATTTTTTGGACATTTTGTCTCATATTTGTTGTCAAAACTTAAAATCGAAATTTCACCTCATATATTTTGAAGATATGGCTCTAATAATGGAAATTTCATAGTGACAGTGATATATTATATTGATCTCATGAATAATCATCAAGATATCATTCAGAATAATAACAAAATGGCGCAAAGTTTATTTATTTAACAGCTTTGTAGAAACTGACTTCATTTACGAAAAATGTAAAAATTGCATACAAAGCTGCTCTCTTTACCTTTAAAACGCACTTTGATTTTTGTGGATTAAGTAAGTCAGTTTAAAAGTCCAATAAATAAATTAATATACCGTTGCGTTTCGAAATATACAGCCTTGACGAACGTCTGAACTTTCAAACGTTGTCTTCTGAGATTAGTTCTCGACGTTTCGCCAACACCAGGGGTTGGCATCTTCTGGAGATGTTATTGCTTCGCTTGTAAGCTTAAATTGAAACGTAGAGAACTAATCTCAGAAGACAACGACCTAACAGCCCGAACAAACAGCCTAACAAGTTAGACGATGGCCGTGAAAGCGTAACGCATTTTATCAATACAGTAAAAAGTTCACTCAAAATTTACCACAAAACGTGCTTATTAATAACAATTTTTCAACATATGACAAATTTCTTTTTTATTTAAAGCCAATTTCTCCGTTTAGTTTATAATAAGCAGTTTACCGTGGTAAATTTTGATTCCTATTAATTATTCTTAACCCTAGAATCCTAGGTGGAATTTGCGGAACGTTAGCAACAAGGTGGCATCATATAAGACCGATAAACTCGCGCTTTATATTTCAATCCTGCTATTTATAGCTTTAGTTGTTACGGTAAAAAGTATGTTAATAGGTATTAATTAACATTAGATACTGAAATTAAGATTTATTAACACCAAAGTTATAACAATTATTAGAAAATTTAAAAATGTGAGCTATTCGTAACTTTAACTATAAAACTAAAGAAAACGTTGCGTGACCAAACGTTTTTATTAAAAAGTGTGTTAAAGCTGGTAAAATAAAAAACACGATAGTTTTTACAAAAAAAAAATCATTTACAATCTACACAAATCCTAAAACGGATTCTCACGACTGGTATATTTGGCCAATATTTGTCAATTGCCTATACTTGTCATGTCGCGTGAATGGTTTACTTGAGCAATTATTTGTCACTGGCGCGTGCTGGCCGTTTTTCCCGTCGACGGTCGGTAAAATCTCTATAAGTCAAAGGGATCCAGTGTCGCGTATACTTGACAAGTCTGTACTGGTCTATATTTGTGTTCGTATTCACACACCGCGTCCAAACATTGTTGTTTTAGTTCACACTGGAATGTTCAATATTTAATAGTTTACTGGCATATTTGCTGTTGGCGTTTGAGTAGTGATATACTTAGTTTAATATTGCGGTTCTTGTCTGTACAGTAGTCCGAATACAAAATGATATTATCACAATTTCTTGCATTCATTTTTATATGTTTTGTCGGCAGGAGGCAGGAGGCAACTTCTTGTGAACCTCGAGATCCCTCTGTTTCGTCCCATATAAACATGTACCCCTTATTGTCGTTAAAACTATGAATTCTCAAATTGTAAACATATAGGTTCATCTTGTAATAAGCAACAGATGTGTTTAGTTTGGGAAAAGGTAAAGCTTTTTGTAGATCGAATGTAAGAACATAAATGTTTTCATCAGCTAAATTTTTATCGTTGTTAAGCGAATCTCTCGCTGGTTTTGCCTTTCTGAGATGAATTTCTTTATCAGTTTTTGCTTTATGTATATCTTCGTCGTTATTCCCAAATCTAATGGTATTATACAAAGAATCACATAACTGACTGGTATCTTTAGATGGAGGTTTGAAGTGAAGATTAAAATTTGAAGAGAAAACATGAGAGTACATTTTTTCTTTGACTGATTCTGAACCTTCCTGTTCAAATTTCTGTTGATACATCTTTCTAATGTTAAAATCTGAGTTTAAATATTTTCTATCTGGAGCACCACAAAGTGTATAGTAGCTCTTATAGCAAGGCAATGATTTGATCATTGATGTGTTCCTTGACTTTCGTGACGTCTATTTTATTGGTTGGTTCTTTGTGACCTCTTTGTCTATGCAAAAAGCTGGCCTCGTACTACAAGACAGTTTATAGATACGCCCCTCACTCACTTGAAAGGTATATTTAAAAAAATTCTTACACACACGAATGGACAAGTCTGTAGTAGTAATACTTTACTGATTTTACTGATTTTAAAGTAATACTTTACTGATTTTAATCTTGGCGCTCTTGATCCTTTTCTGAAGCGACGTTTTTGAACAGAGCTGTTATGAATCAGTCCTCGAAGATAAATGTTCTGCTTTGTATTGTCAGCTAACTTGTAAAATGAGTCAAAAATGAGTTGTCGTTCTTCAAGTGTTATATTGAAAAAACAAAGTCGTCTACATTTACAATCAACATTTGTAAATGATTTGCCAGGTATGTTCTGCCGGTTTCTGTTCACGTAAGCTTTTCCACTATACCGTGGAACTGCGTTGTCTGTCCGTGTCCATTCTGTTGGATTTCTTTTGAGCTTTCTCCCTTTTGTCGAAGATTCCACCATAACGCCCTTCATTTTCAATCCCAATATTTTCTGCTCTAAGATCATCAGCTGGTAAATTGGAAAAATCTGAAACAAATTTCAATGGCCAAAGCGTGTAAGTCAAAAACAATTTTTGTTTCTTTGAATCTGATGTAATTTCAGTCACAATAATAATAAAAAAAATTATTTTGTGTTTATCTTTAGTAATAATTTTAACATTTAATCTATTGTGACAGGAGTTACACTTGGTGAAGAGTAATGTTCAGTAGGATCATAATCTGAACCAGCTGCTCCACCAGCAGCACTACCAGAAGCACCAAAGTCTGACACAGGCATTTGTATAGTCGTAGACATTAGAGAACTTCTAGTAGCAGCCATCTCCTTACGAGCAGTGGCTGCTGTTTGTGAATAATGAAACGTGTTCATTAAGGTATTTATATTCATGGAATCTGGCACCCCACCATGAGCATATTCAGAATAAACTGAGAATTTGACAGGATCAAATCTCTTTGCTTTGTTGTTGTACTGCTTAATAATCTTGCAGACAATGCTGTTTGCAATGTCTTTGTCCTTTAAGTTCTTAGTAGCCACCATTGCGGCCACTATGGCAATGTGTGATCTCGAGTCATTAAGGTAATGAGACCCTGATTGGCAACTTGTATTTATGCATGTTAATACCCTTATAGGTGTAGATTTCAGTGCTGTTGCAATAGCCTGAATATCTTCCCTGTCAAATATTGCACCAGCCAGAGGTGTCAGTAGGCATAAGGGTTCAGGTCTGTTGTACGCTATTGGGATTAGTTGAGCGAAGGTACTCACTACTCGCTAACAGAAAAAGCATAAAACACATTTACGTATGAAATTATTCCCGACTTTTTAGGTTAAGCTACTTACTTGAATCAGATGAATTATTTCCATTGTTAGGCACATATTCTGATCCATTATCCCGGTAAGAATCATTTTCTTCTACTTCTAATGGTAAATCAACTGTATTTTCACTCATTATTACCGATATAAAGCGTGAAATAAAACTCAAATCAAACTGTGACACGCCGAGATGACTTATACTAATTGACTTCCGATAATTTTTCAGTTTATTTCTGACGCTAAATAAAGTACCCCCTATCTGTTGGTTTTTCTGTCATGCATTGACTTGGGCGTTTTGCCTGTAGACAGTTTGAACTGTAAGAAGGAATCTTCGATACGTAACTCAATTTTTACTGAAAACTGACTTACACTGATTGGCTTCTGAGCACTCCAAATAATAACAATAACAAAACAGTAACAGTACATCCAAGATAGCACAAATAATCGTAACTCTAATATGTTTACGCGCTCCGAAGAACAAATAAAGACTAATTAAGGCCCTGGATGTATCAAGCTTTTAAACATATTCTGTACAAGAATTGCTCTGCTTCTTAATTACTGAATAACTTAGAAGAAAGTATTTGAAACATTTTGAAAAAATGTTTATTTAATGTACATTTTATTATAGTACTGCTACTAATAAAAGATAAAAGTTGATAAGTTACAATTAGAAACAAATAATGTAAATAATGAAATAAATATAGTATTATGTAAAATTGTTAGCAAAAGATATTTGTGTTGGAAATTACATAAAATTGTACGTGAGGACTTGTTGAGAACTCCTGGTTTATTCCGTTTATTTTAAGAGATAGACAATAGAGAATGTCATCGCTCACTGCATAAAACTGGCAACGTCTTGGCGAAATTCCCATAAGGTTAGCATTACATATCTTACCCTGTACAGACTAGTCACTTTGAGACAAAGTATAATAATATTAATACATTGATTATATACTTACTTTGAATTGGTATCCCATGAAACTGTGGTAAATCTGGACTAACGTTTAATCCTAAACTGCTGATGTACCACCGTTCCCCACCTGGTGTCTATAAAAGAGATCTTTTGTTTAGT